CTCTTCCATTTATATATGTTCTAAGAAAATAACACATAAAAGTTTCTTGGGTGCCATTTTTAAATAAAGAGAATTTGGATAAAATTAATGAATGGAATCGCTTTAGAACTTGTAAAAATGGATGGAAATTATCCTTCCCCCCCCTGAAAATCAGTAAATGGTCATAAAAGACACGTAAAGCGAAGCTTATTCAGGCAAGAAAACACGATTTAACAGCTGTTGAAAGGAATGGAAAAGATGCTTTTATGTATAAAATTCAATAATAACTATAGTTTCCGTTCATTTTTACAACTTTGATAAGTACGACACAAGTCACATTTTCAAAATTAAGCACATAATAATGATATGGCATGCAATACAAAATTCGTCATCAACACTTTTCACGGTAGGTCCGTTATTCTCGTCAAATCGTGTTTTCGCTTCACATTCGACTGTGATTAATAAATTTTTACTGCTTACGATATTGGCATACAACATATTTTGTAAAATTATTACGATTTACGACTTATAACACCGAAATATGACGTATTATAGAACGAGCCTAATACGACAAATAAGCGGAGCATTTCATTTCTACCGCGACATAGTGTCGTCACCGTCAACGCGGAGTTCATGACTGTCGACTGACAACTGTCTAGGCAGGAGCTTTAATCGAGAGAGAAGTTGTGTAATACTTTGAATGTTCCATGTTTTGAAAGAAGTTTCATACACAATAATTCTATCTCTATTAATATCAAATTACTTACCATTAGGATCAGAGGAGTTTAACAGATCATTTTTCGCGATTCTATCTGCCTCTGATATTAGAGCTTCATTAGACATAGGTATATCGTCTATATTTTTTATTTGACAAACTGATTCTTCAGTATCAGAATTTGTTTCTACAGTTTCCATGACATCGCAGTCCTGTACTTTTTCAAAATGATCCATCAAAGTCTCTTCTTTGGCCTTTGTCTCTCCCTTTCGTTTATTTGAGCTTTTCGAAATTTTTGAGGACGAATCGTCATCCGTCAACGAATCGAAATCTTCTTTTGCATTTCTTTTGCGTCCCTTTTCAAATTTATCTAGATTAACAAAACTGTAAAGATAATGAAAATAAGGTACTTTGGATAATAACTAATTCATACATAAATTAAATTTGTCATATAAAAATTTATTGTTATTATAATATTTAAATGTATCTATTTCATTGTAAAAGCAAATGTGCAAGAAATGGTATTAAGTTTGTAATATATAAAAACTTCAATCCACAGAAATTGTAGTTACTATAAAATTATTATGTATATAAACAAATACAGTCGGTTATTACAGTAGAATTAAACATTTTTCAGTATATTGGAGATTTAGTATATTTCCAAAGAAATGTTGATTTGAGGAAATATATATTACGTGCCTGAACTTGTATTATATTTATTATATTTTACAATCATATCAAATTAAACTATAAGTGACATATTTGCCATAGAGATTTTTATTAGCCTCCCGATCTACAATAGATAATAAGCTTATTGTTAGTCCTTTCCTCTAAGCTCTGAATTGTGACGTTAATTTGCTCTAAACTTTATAGTTGATTGTGAGATCTGGCCAGCTTAAAGTTTAGGGATTATGGCTTAAGGTAACGTCGGAAATACTTTTTGCCAGAAAAGTTACAATTTAGAGCTTACAACAAAAGGTTAAAAGCTTATTATACCTACTGTCGGGACTTACAGATTTTTATGAATAAAAGTTGATAAAGACTCCATTTAAGTGCCATTAGATGAAATTAAAATTTTGATTTACAAAGTTAATATAAAAAATGTCCAATTTGACTGCACATTTGATGTTTATAATAAAAACATTACATTATAGAATATGTTATAACTCGTCCTGTAGTAATAAACAAAATAACGCTAACAATTTAGTATATTTTTAATACTATTATATTTCCATATATTCATATGTTAGATTTAGCGAGTTGTAATTTCATACAAAATTAAATTTTGCTACTTTAATCCTCAACTGGAGCTCTGGGTGTAGTACCCAGGTTGTATATAATAGCGCTAAGCATTCACAATAAACCGTAAGAATAGGAAGGAATCGAGTAGGGGCTAAAGTTTCATATCCCCTATCTACTAATTCCCCACCACAGCAGTCTCTAAAGGTCAACAGGAAATTTTCCAAAGTCGCAATTTGTCAGCCTATGGGTGTACTACACCCAGAGCAAAATATACTTTTTAAAAATAATTGAAATGGTAATTTTTTTCTTAAAGTACGTTCGATTACCTTTAAAAACCCGCTAGAGAAATCTTTTTAACAGTTTTTCCCTTGAAACTACAAATTAAAAAAAAAACCGAAATTAAAAGATTTTCTTTTTCTTTGCTCCTGAATATCTCGAATATTTTCAATTTCTCGATTTTTGCACGCATTCTTTCGGACAATTTGACGTATCGATTAAAAAAAAAAGGTCAAATTCTATGCATTACATACAAAGACATACGCGATTGAAAACGTTGAGGGTGTCGCACCCAGTGTTCCAGAATCGAGAAATACAGATAGTGCTCCAGCTGAGGGTTAATCATAATCACACTAAAGCCCTATAAGTATATAATTCTATCATATACTTGAAATACTCTAACATCAAACAGTAATTCAATTATAACAAACGATGCAAAACAATAGACATAGGTCAGAAGGTCATAGTTACAGAAAATGCTGGATACCTTTTGAGTGCCTTATGTTCCAGATACTCTCTTGACTTTCTTAATGCACAGGAATAGGACTTAAAAACTTTCGTGTTTAATTGCGTTAAATGAACTTCGCAGGACATTCTCA